GACACTAGACTGATCAAAGTTAATCTTTAGTTTTGAGAGATTTACAAAACAAATTAATTCTGCTCAACTTTGGTTTTTGAGTCGTTTTATTTTGTACAACCTTTGAGTACTTATATATAGATGCCACAGGCAACGAAATTTAGGGTTATCAGGAGGATATTTATGCTGATTTGATATATTTAGGACAGAAGGACTGACTGGAGCGGAGAAAGCACCAGAATGGAATGCAGCACAATCTGTAGTTCATTTCGGTTTTATCTTTGCTTTCTTTCTGACTTGTTGGGTATATCCAGTCATGTTTTGTTTAGATATCTTGCACAGGTTAAAGCCTTTGACCTTGTTAATTTCCTAAAACTACTGATTGCATTAGCTTGATCTCTGGTCAAGTAGCTGTAGTTTCAACTGTAAAATTCAGTCAAAACATTTGCTTGACTAATAAACAGGTTTAAACGATAATGTATTTAGTGGTATCCTGCAAATGACAAGCTGATTCTGTGTTTCCAATGGTAGGAAAGTAAACTTGATTGACTGCCTTCACATTCCAATTGTTTTAACTTAGCAAATAATTAAGTTTGTGTCAATGTGATTTGTGGCATCACTATTTATCCTTGCCACACAGAAGCAGCCTTGCACTAAATTAAAATGATTCTTTAAAAATAGATGTGTTTTGTCAGATTATCTATTGCACCATCCTTTTAGCATGTCTGACTACTTGACCTCATAAAAGATATCCGATGTTCAGAGTACCGGGTTCACTGGTTTTTAAGTTTTAGTACTAGCCTACTCTCTCTATTCCAATTTATATGATAACCTTTCCATTTTGGGATGTCGGATGTCCCAAAGTGTTTTACATGATTCCACAAGTATCAGTATTTTATATACTAACATTTCTTTAAAGTTAAAATTCTCGTAAACATATTTCCTTGGAACAATCATGTGATGTGTTTCCTCCTCAAATCTTGTTAGTCCTGTTCTTCTTGAATAGCTTCTTCCTTTGCTAACTAATGTGACATACAAGTAAAACTTTAAAACTCGATACACATACAGACGTAACATATATTAGTATGCAAGGTGTACTAAGTTATTTTGTTGCTTCTTCGGTATTTTTTGCAATGTCGAATATGAAAATAATGTATGTGTGTCAAACTCTAGGTCTCATTATTCTGCATTGTTCTTTTGTGTGGCCAGGAATTGACAAAGTTTATTAATCAGTGCAACGAAACAAAAGCAGCCACTTTTGCTACTAAGGATGGTGGTCAATTATGTATACTTAAAAAACCTGAGTCCTCCAGTAAAAAGCCTGAATCCTCCAGTGTTGCTGCAAAGAAGTAGTGCCTTTGGAATCAATTGTATAAACAAAATTTTTGATGCTAAGATCTTCCTTTTCAGCTTTTTAAGACCAAGTTTTGAGTCTCTTATTATTATTTTTTAAATGGATCGATCTATTTTCGTTTTTGGGTTTTTATTTTCTTCGATTAGCATGTACCTTGTTTAAGGAAAAGTACAATCAGGAAAAAAAAACGTCTCTTGTTTACTCCTTATTTGACATAATGTTATTTGCTTCAGGTTAGTTCAACTCGGTTCCATCTTATATAGTGTGAAAATTCTGATTTCGCCACTTGATATAACAAAATAGATCACTAGATACAATCATATGGCGTGTATAAGTTCCAAATACTTAAAAGAAAAATCAGCACAATTTTTTTCTTTGAAGAAAAACATAGGTTAGTTACAAATATAATCAGAAGTTTCCAACCATGATGATGTGATTATGCAAAAATATTGAATCTATCTCTTTTTGTTTTGTTTAACCTTCTGGAAAATACTACTAATAAATATACAGAATGTGCGATAATTATTAAAATTGATCAGTGTGCATATTATCTATGAGAAGATATTTTCTATTACATTATTCGATTTACATTTCCAACTTTTACCAAAATATATTTACAACTAGTATTCACAGGTTGGATGATGCCAGCCTGTTAGATTTCTGGTGAGATATTTTTTGTTTTCAGTTTGGAACATGCTTTTAAATGTATTCTTTTTATGTTGTAATGTTCAATAAATATATAAGTCCTTTCCTGTCAGTTGCATTTATAAACTTATATATATATTAATTTCCTTCCACCTACCAATTACCATTATTTGCTTCTCTGTTTTGGCTACTGAAAAAAATTGGGACACAGTCAGTTTATTTCAGGTTTCTCAACCTGATGAGATTCTGTCTTTTAATCTCTCAACGGTCATATTATTATTTATCTAAAGACAAATCTCATAAGTCATATCCATGAAGGGCTTAATTAGTATTTTTCTCTTACAAATCTTATAATATTATTTATAGTATATTTATGCATAAAGTTGTCTCTGGTAGTTTCATTACATTTTCTTCTACACTGTTTTTGGCTTGAGTCGATGATCTATTGAAAATAACATGTCTAGCACATGAGGTAAGATTTGCATACATTCTGCCCTCTTCAAACACCTTTTTGTGAGGCTACACTGAATATGTTACTGTATTTATTCATAAAGTGGAACATCATTTGATTACAGAAGTTTACATCAAATCTAGGAAGATACCTACGCACCCATAATTTACATAGAAGAATGCCTCATCTATATATGATTTTGTCAATTCATATATAGTAACATAATTTTAGAGGGACGTTTAAGTTTGTTTATAGATCGTGTAACACTTCATAGAAAATTTTAAGTTTTGAATTGACACTATTTTCAATATGCCTAAAACGTAACTTATATTTTGAGACGTGCGATAACTACAAGCTATAGTACTCTGTCTTTAATGTTTATTACGTTAATTAGTTTTTAGTTGAACTATCGTTCTTCGTATATCGTCACTTGCAAACAAATTTGATAACGGACTTATCTGTATACTTTAATTCGTCATATTAATATGTTGGTTAAAATTATGGGTACATGTTCGATCTTTCTGAACTTACCAAAAAATAAACCAATATAATCGACCTTGTTAGCAAATATTTGAGGATTGCCATCTAGAACCAAAAAATTATATAATATCTGGGGATTGCTACGCAATTGAAAACGATCACTCATCTTCAATTATGCAAGAGATACTACTTTCTTCGGTCATCTTATGTGATGTAGCTTGATTGAGCACATAATTAAAAAAAATTGAAACTTATGGATTAAAATAAATTGTCATATTACAACTGTAACTTATCTCATTAAAGGTAAAATAAACATTTTAAAAATGTGTCGTTCTTTTTTAGAATTAAAATGACTGAAAAGGAAAGTGTATAATATAGATTAAGACAGAGAAAAAAAAATAATAAACATGATTTTGTTTTCATTAAAGAAATATGTTTTTTGAGTTTAAATTTTATATATAGTCAATATAAATAATTTGGGTTGAAATTATGATAAGGTAGTGGACAGGCTTGACAATGTGATAGGTATATGAATATGAATATCCTTGTTCCACTCCATCTTGATATTCCTCTTCCTTTAATTATAGCCATCTTTATTTTTATTCTATTTACATAGTATAAATCTTAGCTATGGTAAGAAAATAAATCATCTAGAGCATAAGATTTAAGGAATCCGTACTACCAAAGGTAAAAATATTCCCAAATCATTGGTATTTCATACCTACATTGATCATTTAATTATTCCCCACTAACAAATGTGCTATTTCTCAAACCCAAAGACATTTTTTTAGTGTCTGATTATCAGGAAAAAAAAATCAAGATGAAAATGACTTCCCAATGATGGATGGAAGTAGTTTTATGTTATAACAAATTAGTTTTAAATTTTATATTACTTGTTTTAATTAATATCAATACATTATTAATTTCTAAAAATTATATAAGCATCCTACTTCAATAAAAAGGTGGAATCGCCTGTTTAATAGTGACTCCTCTCCTTACCGTCAAGTGGCTCATTAAAATACTCTACAATTTGATACTCTAATAATAATAAAAAAAAAAAAAAAAAAAAAGA